TGCACCTCTCGGCACCACGAGCTGACCCCTGGACACTATACACTGCACCTCTCGGCACCACGAGCTGACCCCTGGACACTATACACTGCACCTCTCGGCACCACGAGCTGACCCCTGGACACTATACACTGCACCTCTCGGCACTACGAGCTGGCCCCTGGACACTATACACTGCACCTCTCGGCACCACGAGCTGGCCCCTGGACACTATACACTGCACCCCATGCCGCGCATCCCACACCAGCTTCACAGCCGCCTCGGGGACACGAGCTGGCCCATGGACACTCCACACTGCGCCCTAGGCCGCGTACCTGACACCAGCTCCATCAGCTGCCTCGGGGACACAAGCTGACCCCTGGACACTATACACTGCACCCAAGACCGCGCATCCGACACCAGCCTCACAGCCGCCTCGGCACCGCGAGCTGACCCCTGGACACTGTATACTGCGCCCCAGGCCGCGCATCCGGCATCAACTCCATCAGCCGCCTCGGCGCCACAGGCTGGCCCCTGGACACCATGCACTGCACCCCATGCCGCGCGCCTGATATCAGCTCCATCAGTCGCGGCGCTCGTGACGCCCACGCGGCGCGCGCCGCACAACTCACCTGAACACGCCACCCACGCGCGCCCAACGCCCGCCACCTGTGGCGACACGTCGAGCGGCGCCGAGCGCGCAAGGCGTGAACAACCATCAGAGGCTGGTAGCTAGACGAACCCACCATGACAAAAAGGCGCCCCATATTGGCATCATCGCATCACTGGGTTACATAACTTCATGAGCTTCTCTCCGTGCCGAACTGGGCGGGCAGGATAGTGGCACGCGGGCCAATGACGGCAAACTCGGTGCCAGCGGGTCGATGCGTGGCAGACCCCCGACGAGGTGGAGAGCTGCCAGCGCTCAGCTCACAGCCCAGGCAGGTGACTGAACCTATCACAGAATGACATTGGTTCAAGTGCTCGAGATTTGCTGGGAGTGGGGTGGCTGGTGCGTTTTGTCTACATAGCGAGTGCTTCCTGATCCTTGAAGATGGCGTTCATTCAGTACTTCTGGTATAATGAAGGTCGACTCTTGTCAAAATAAGATCTTCCAATTGACAATGTCACTAGTACAAGCCTCTTCGGCATCCTCATGCAAACACCTGGCTGTCCTTGGTACGTCGATGGAATAAAGTCGTACTTTGAATCGTGAGAACAAAAGGTATACGCAGGTAAAAATATAACAATATCGTTATCCTAACGTTCAACTCCAGCTAAGTGGTGATAGGTACGATGGATAGGTAGGATGCCATCTTTTAGATAGCCATAAGATGGCATTCGTCTTGTCCGCTTGCCTTCTCACAGTTATCGCACCGTAATTTGCATATGGCAGGCCCTGTTTTTGACGCTATAAATCCCGACGCTGCGCCGTCTTAACGCGAGCCCGGCTCCTCCAGCCTGTGGGTCGCGGATAGTACCGCACATGTCCGCGGCCTCACACTGGCCAACGCTCGTTTACCTAATACCGGGTGGCGGTGTTTGCTGGAAACACATCAGCGGGCATTCCCACAGAGCGCAATGTTCCGCTTTGGCTACCGTCTCATCTGTCGCAGAAATTGTGCCTCAGATGCTGTTCTAGATTCCACATCATTATCAGAAGTGGGAATGACTTGCGGTTTTGACATCGGAAGCACGGCGTTAGCGAAGACGTAAGAACACCACAGACAGAGAGGCCAAAAACACTTTTGAAATTCCTTCTTTGCACGCATGATCACAGCGTGAATACAGCTTATCTCAAACTTTCACGCGGGCTTGGATCCTGAGCTACCTGCCCACTCCCCCCATGCCAGTCCCTATCACCTCGGCAGCCATCGCTGTCCACTTTCCGCCGCTCTCTACTGAACGTCGGACGAATGCCGCGTTCGACGCATGCCGCTGTATGAAAAGTGATTGATCAAAAGCGCCATTGAGAACAACGTTAATGGCGCATCCGGGCATTGGCTGCGCTCGTGGCTGTGGTCCATTGAAACAGAACAGTGCGCGTATTTTGGTGCGTAGCATATTTACGACGTGGGCCCCGGTCGATGGACGGTTAATTAGTTTTCGCCGCCGGCCGGAGGCGCGCAGCGCACCTCCGCACGTTCTTGGCCGGCGCTCTGCACTGGCCACCGGCGGCAGGGCAGTGCTGCACTGGCCATCGGCGACAGGGCAGTGCTGCACTGGCCACCGGCGGCAGGGCAGTGCTGCACTGGCCACCGGCGGCAGGGCAGCGCTGCACTGGCCACCGGCGGCAGGGCAGTGATGTACTGGCCACCGGCGGCAGGGCAATACTACACTGGCCACCGGCGGCAGGGCAGCGCTGCACTGGCCACCGGCGACAGGGCAGTGCTGCACTGGCCACCGGCGGCAGGGATGTACTGGCCACCGGCGGCAGGGCAGTGATGTACTGGCCACCGGCGACAGGGCAATACTACACTGGCCACCGGCGACAGGGCAGTGCTGCACTGGCCACCGGCGACAGGGCAGTGCTGCACTGGCCACCGGCGACAGGGCAGCGCTGCACTGGCCACCGGCGGCAAGGCAGTGCTGTACTGGCCACCGGCGGCAGGGCAGCGCTGCACTGGCCACCGGCGGCAGGGCAGTGCCGTACTGGCCATCGGCGACAGGGCAGTGCTGCACTGGCCATCGGCGACAGGGCAGTGCTGCACTGGCCATCGGCGACAGGGCAGTGCTGCACTGGCCACCGGCGGCAGGGCACTGCTGCACTGGCCACCGGCGGCAGGGCAGTGCTGCACTGGCCATCGGCGACAGGGCAGTGCTGCACTGGCCACCGGCGGACAGGGCAGTGCTGCACTGGCCACCGGCGGCAGGGCAGTGATGTACTGGCCATCGGCGGCAAGGCAGTGCTATGTAGTATATATGATGTATCCGCACATATGTATGTAATATGCGTCAATATTATACTTTCAGAACGACCCAAGAGCGTTGTGCCGTGAAGATGAGCGAAATAAGAGTAAACTGCATGGAAGTAAAAACACTGCTGCGTGAAAACTGAATAGGTACCGGCTTAGCTAAGCTCGATTTAAAAACGAACGTGCTCCGCAAGCGCCAAAGAAAGTGGCGTGTTGACGTAACCACATTCAAGTGCATGTAAAGTGCGCACATGACGGCCGGAATTTTAGAACGGTCAGACACATTTCCTTTGACGGATGCGATCCAAAATGACCTATTACCACTGCGTCAAACGCTCAATTGGTCACGCACCCTTCCACCCAGGTGCGCACGCCACCCCCATGGGCACGTGGGCGCGCTCGTGCACTTAAGGTTATTGGGCGGGTGTGCTGTGAGGCGGTGGGTCGGCCCGGCTCCCCGGGGGTCGATGGTGCAAACAAGCGCAGCTTGAACCGCTGCATGCCGCGGGTCGGGCGGCGCTGGCCGGCGCCTACTGATGGGCGGGGGCCGAACGTGTCCACCGTCGAGAGGGGGAGGGGAGGGGAGGGGTAGGGGCGAGCGACGGCCAGCAGCCGCTGACCGTCTCTGGATCACCAGCCGCCACCCGGCGAGCCTTGCCGCTGTGAGCGCTTTACGCCAAAAACGCGACGTTCAAACACCAGTGGGCTCCTGACAGCGAAGCCGGGAATGTTGGACGTCTCTTATTTTGCACTTCGATGTCGATTGCGGAAATCTCTATTTCTGTGCTGAAAGTTGCAGATTAGTGTAATATTTATAAAGATATTATTTATCTGATGGCAAAACGTTCGTAAAAATAGTCTTCGTCTGATGACAAACCGGTAACTTCAGAATTGTCAGGTGATTCCAGAAACGGGGGTGCTTTCGAGCGTAACTTGGAACTGGGGACGCGAAATGCTGCCAGTGTTCTGCAGCATTGCACCGGAGTGCGCGAGCAAAGGTCATTAATACTGCAACTGCTGCATGAATCTTACAAAATCACACGGCTCGTGCGTGACTCGTTGCAACACGCCAGCTCACGTTCAGCCGTGCATAGCGGCGCTCCCTTTGTTTTAGTGCCTCGTGTCATAATTCTGATGTCATGTTTGGCAACCCGACGATCAAGTATAGACCGGTAATCAATTAGAGAGTAATTGGCACGGTAAAAATGATCGTTAACCCACTACCTTGTAAATCTTACGCGCATTTTAGGCAAACATGTTCTGACTTTGTGTGCTGCTAACGAAATGTGGCCGAAACCTCATTAACTGTTCGACCAAGGCTCAAATCGGGTTTGGCCAAACAGCGATAATAATAGAGTCGAAGCCAGCCGACCTAGCTGCGTCGACCCTGGAGCTTGGGCATCCACGCTGCCGTTATCGGAACCATTATCTGACTCTGACTGACTGAACCAATATCAGAACCATTACCTGACCCATTCACCACCACGGGACATAAGCGGAAGTAACATCCAATATATCACTACCTGAGCAGGACCGCGCCATGCTTACTGGAAATCGCCTCAGGGCATGCGCCTTCTCCCACGAGGGTGCGGAGTACCCCAGGTAAAAGCCATGTCCGATCGCTTTCCTCCGGATGGTGCATCTTGATGGAGCATTACTGAGTAACCGCATATGTATGGCTCGCGCGATACACGGAGTGTTTAGCGCGCTCATTAATCCCGCACAAGCTCATTTATCTGTCAGCCCTAGTTAGACGGACGAGGCCGCAGATGGCTTTCCGACGCCTCGTCACTACAGCCACCGTACCTAACAGCCCCAGACCAACCATTACGCTGGCCGCATCAGGAGACACCGCGTGTAATTATACTGCTTTCGTGTACCGTGGCTTTTCGTGTTTCGTGTACCGTGGCGTGTCCTGCACGGGCACTGTTTTCGACGAGGCCAGCGATATCCACCAGTTCCAAGGGCTTTATTACATGAGGTCAGTTTGCGTAAAGCGTCCAGTGGATGGACCATCTCCTTCCTCCCCCTCCCCCCTCACCCCACTGATGGTCACCGGACGGACCCAAATGTGCCAGCGCCAGCGGACCTTCCGGTGCCCGAGCCTACCTGCCAGCTGGGATCTGCCGACTTGTAGTATATGAAGTTCTCCTTGATCCACTTGTAGATGCTTGCCAGCGTCATCTTCTTCTTGTTGTCCTCCATGGCCATGATGATGAGGGTGGCGTAGGAGAAGGGCGGCTTGACGCAGCACTGTTTGTAGTCGATGTTGGGCAGCACCAGCTCGGCCTTCTTGCGCCGTCGCTCCCGGCTCGCTTCGGCCGGCGGCGAGGCCGGCGGCGTCGGCGGCGTCGAGAAGGGCGCCAGGTTCAGGTGCTGCAGCCAGTTGAGGCTGGTCAGGTCGCCGCCGTCGTCGCCGCAGGGCGGCACCGAGGGCAGCGGGGAGAGCGACATGGCGAACGGAGCGCTGACGGCGGCACCGGAGCAGCCCCGCTCACATGGCGCGCGCTCCGCCGGCCTGCTCTCCAGCTCCGTCGGCTCCGCTGGCAGCTCCGTCAGCTCCCTCCTGCGGCACACGGCACGTCTGTCAGCGGCGCCGCCTGCAGCTCCGCTCCCGACCGGCGCCCGCTACGGCAGGCGGCGCCGGTCAGCGCCGGCGCCAGCGCAGCGAGCCGTGTCGGCTCGGCAGCGGGGCGGCTGGTCCGCCCGGCGTCCGAGCGGCGCCGACACCGCCGTCGCGCCCGTATCCCCACCGGAAGCAGCGGCCGCCGGCCACTGAACCGTGCTGCTCACCTGTCCCCCGCCCTCCCGGCGCCCCCAGGCGCGGCACGCGCGCGCCCGCCACAGGGGTGGGAGCTGCACCTGCCGTCGGCGCCTGAGGCAGGGCCCCGCCCGGCAGATTAGAGCGCGGCCGGGGGTACGACGGACGGGGGCACGGGGTACGGCGGACAGGGGCACGGGGTACGGCGGACAGGGGCGCAGGGAACGGCGGACGGAGGTGCGGGTGCGGCCGCCGGCGCGAGGTGCGGCGGACAAGCGGCGTGGGGTGCGGCGGACAGCGGCGCGGCGTACAGCGGACAGGGGCGCGGGGTGCGGCGGACAGGCACGTGGTACGGGCCAGCACCAGGCGCGATACGGGGCGAACGACGTAGGCATCGGCGACTGAGATTCAGACGATAAGGACCTGGATCACCGTTTCCAGCGGATAAGGGGGGGGGGGGGGGGGCACGAGGGCTTGGCAGTGTAAATTTACCAATTTGTCACGGATATGCTTCACTGTAGTAACTGAAGTTTGTATTAAAGTAAATAAAACTTGCGACAAAATATGAAACAGTTCCATAGCCACAGCAAACAAAAAAAGACGGATACCACAACGTTTGTCGTATTTTCTCCAGCTCACGACATCGTAATGCTACAGTCCCGAAGTATTTGTCGCTGTAATGCTGGTGCCGCTGATGTCTATGGCCTCAGAAAGGGCCCATGTTAAAGCCAAAACTTAGCGAAATTATTGCCGCAAAAATAGCAAGCGGCTGGGCAAAGCAAACATAGCAGATGGATTGGTGAAAACCGCAGCTGTCCATGTGTGTAGAAACGTAGTTCATTTCAGCTATCGCATTGTTCATATTTCAGCTAGGTATATACGCAGCTTAGCGATAAAGAAAGTTTTATCCAATTCTAGAAAAAAATCATGCCAGAATTTTGGGGTTGGCCCATTCCTTCCAAAAAACTCTCGCGAACATAGACATCTGGTAACATTTGATATCTAGTGTTCCTGGATATCCATCCTACACACGGCTTTGTATATATATGTTTGTGATCGTCGGGAATTTTGTTTTCCAACATTATGGCCGAAAGGGCTCACGTTCGTAAAACTACAAGGCGTTTCGTGTTGATGAAGCACTGACCTAATATTGCCGGTCGTACTGGACAGCCCCTGATGATGTTTGGGCGTTTTACGGGCGCGTCGGTTCCTGAGGCAATTTCGCCTCGTATTGAGCAACCTGGCGACCTTCCAAATGCATTGACGATATATGTTATGACCTACGTATGTGCATACCCAGGAAATATTTTCGCTGGATCCGATCACTTTGAATGATTGCACTTGCAGCTTTCTTTTCACGTCGCAACTCTAAAGCCAGATTAGCGTCTTTCATCAATATCAGGGAACACTGGCTGCACAAATCAGACAAAAAGAGGGCATCATGTATGCACGCGCAGCGCCGTGGTCGGGGGTCAGGATAAGAAGTCCTTCCAACATGTTCCGACGATACTGACTCTCCATTACCATTGCCATCGCCGACCAATTTGCGTTAAACAGGGCTCAGAAGTCCGCATTCTGGGACGAAATCCTCCCAGACGGAAGTGCACACAATGACTAATGACGACTAATGTCGCCATTAGTTCGCGGCCAGGATAACGAGTTCTGCGAAAAAGCAGCCGAGTGGATGACCAGGTCGCATGTAAAGTTCCGATCGACCTGACCTGACCTGACCTGACCTGACCTGACCTGACCGAACCTGAGCCGATCCGTAGCCGGACTTGAGCCGGTCCTTCAGACCCGCCTGACCCGGCTGGCGGCGCACGCGAGCTGACGGCAGCACCTGCCCGCCTGCCCGCAGCCGTCGCCGCGTGCAGCGCGCCAAGTCACACTGTACATTGACCCGCGGGTGCGGCGCGAGCGCGGCGCGAGCGCGAGTATGACGCTACACGCGACTCATCATCGTCGCGCGCTCCAACAGGTCGGGGAGAGAGGCGAAAAATCACAGGAAGGGGTCATGTCAGGCGACACATGTTCTAGCCAGGGACAACTTTTCAGAGCCCTCCGCGCATTTATCAGTGGCGCAGGACGGTGCTCAGGTCAAGGAACTAGCGTAAGCGGATTTCCCTGCGCGAGATGTCTTAATACGTGAAGCTGTACGACTGCCTTACAGTGAACACCGGACCAGATCCTGCTCATTATCGCGGATCAGGAACACCTACATTGGAGCGCTCGCGAAATAGGACAAAACGTGCCATCCAGAACGTCTGGAGGATTTACAAAATTGGTTATTTCATAACCAAGCTGGCAGATATGGGATGACTCCAATTTAGGAGCAGAGCGTTTTGATTCAATGACAGAATGCAATCAGTGGGCATATTCAGATATCTACGATCTGCAACCCATCGCATGCAATTTTCAGGCAATCGATACACCATTCAATCGACCTAATTCCGCGCCGGACAGTGTAGTCTACATCGATATCGATTTGTTATCTTATACTGCCTCTTCTAAATTCAAAGAAGTGAAAACTCCCACGTTGTCCGCAGTAACCAAGTTCTTCTTCTTTTTTTTTGGTCACGCCTGATCCAGTTCCACAAAAGGATGCTACCAGCGTGCGCACTTCCAAATGATGCTCGTGAGCATGCTTATTGTAAACGATTCGAGTTTTCCTTTATAGCACGAGAGGCGTCGTTTCTGCGGCCGTCAGGGTAGCCGTCCCCCGCTCTGACTGTTGCAGGGGGCGGCGAGACACCTGCCCGGCGGCCAGACAGCACGACATGCGTCACTTCTGCGGCAGTCAGGGTAGCCGTCCCTGCTCTGACTGTTGCAGGGGGTGGCGAGACGCCCGCCCGGCGGCCAGACAGCACGAGAAGCGTCGCTTCTGCGGTCTTAAGGGTAGCCATACCCCCGCTCTGATTGTGGCAGGGGGTGGCGAGACACCCGCCCAGCGGCCAGGCCCCAATGCACGGCGTGTAGCACGGTCAAGGGCGACGCAGACGGCTTAGTCCTACAGTGCGGCTCAGTCGTGAATGGCTTGCGGGTCCGACTAGGAAGCAAAGCCGACCCACTTCCGTCAGCGTTCTAGCCTCGGAGCCCCGCTGTATCGAACTGGGCCGGCTTAAGCGAAGTGTGCTGAATGAATACCGGAAGCGTGCAGTCAGTTGAAATGCACGCCGACCGGATTTCATGAGGCGCCAAACGGCGGTGGCGCGGAGATGTCGTGGGGAGCTCTCGGAAGGAGTTCAAATGTGCCAAACCGCCGACGGTCCTCTCAGCAGTTTGGCAGGATTTCTTTTTTTCCAGATCGATCGCAGATCGCAATCGATCACACTTACAGATTATCATTGTTGAGACGGGTATTCAGCGCACGCGTTTCTCACGTGCTTCGAATTTAAATACAAATATCAAATCAAGATAGATCACATTTGACCGTTTCGCAGCCAGAACGCATGGGTGCGGGTTCTAATCCGCGCCTGCGCCGGTTTTGGGCTGACAGCCGCCTGGGGCTACCCTCACATGCCATCGAATCCCGCACAGATCGAGCTTTTACATTGTGCCAACACGAAGGACAAGAAGCCGAGTCAGATTGATCGGCGCACATTTGTGACTTAGTACTGCGCGTCACGCAACGACCTGCGGCGCCATTCGTGACGTCATTCATCGGGCGCGTGACGTCATGTAAGACGTCGTTAGCAGGCTGACACCTGTGCGTCAGTGCGCTGGCACTTATCCGTACGACGTCGCGATGTGTCAGCCGTGGGTGACGTCACCTGGGCGGTGACGCCATTCCCGGCTGACACATAGGAACATGAAGTGACGTCACCTGGACGGTGACGTCACGTCTGATGTAGGACGGGCCCGCACGGATCGGTGGTCGGTGCGGCACGTCAGGTCCAGCATGACACCTGTGTGATGCTGACATAGATCATCCCGAAGCGACTGGCACTGCTCGTAACGCATCCGGCGATTCCCGAATCTCCCCCACGTATCAATGGCGCTGCAAACAAATCTGTGCCAGGACGCCTGTACAAACCGAGTTGTCCTTTTCTCAAAGCGGTCTAGTCTGCGGCCTCAGAACGTCACGCGAAAGAATGTTGCGATGGAAATGCCTCTCGAACCGAAACGTTGAAAACCAAGCCTCAGGGGAAAGCCGGCGTTTAGTGTCACGTGCGCGGTGCATGCCACCTCGTCAGGCGTGTTGCGTGTATGCCGCCTGGGTATGCCGTGTATGCTGCCTGGGTATGGATCCCGGCTGTGCCACCCCGAATGGAGCACACGGGATGCCGCGGCTCCCACGTCGCGGGAGCCGCGCGACATGCGTGCCACCAGGAGCATGCTCCGGCGTCCGGAGCTCCGGGCCGAGTGATCCAGTGTGACGTGGCTGCTGCGTTTTCCCGAGCGCTGTGCCGGATGCGCTGTTCCGTCCACGTGGCGTGTCAAATGTGACGCGCAGAACGGCAGTGTGTCGCCTGCCCGCTGCCGGTCGGGACTGACGGCCGTGGTATACGGGCGGCGCGGAATGCGAGCCAAAGCGAGCTAGTCTCGGGCACGGGTACGTCGCTCCAAGACAGCTCACCGCGGACGAGATGCAGGCCTAGAGAGCATACCGGCAAATTACGAGCCAAACGTTAGAGGCTTATCGCAATCGCGTTTTCATGGAGCACACTCGTGAGTGTGGATAGCGTATTGTGTCGTCTTCAAACAACGCCACTGCTCGCTGCTCGCTGCCGGCTTCCCCGTGCGCGAGGCGGTGCGCGTCACGTAATTAAGGTCATGGCCCGACGGCTGACCGGCTGCTGTCGAGCCCCCCCCCCCCCCCCCCCAGCTGCCCGCCGCTCTGTCGGCCGCCGGGCAGATGCCCGTCCACCTGCCCCCCCCCCCCCCCTCTCCACCGGCCGGCCGGACGCGACAAACGAGCTCGGCGTCCACCTGCGCTGGCAGCCAGGAAGTTAATCCTGACCAGGTCAGCACCGCGTCCCCTCCGTGCGCCCACTGGTCTCACAACGGCTAGAGCCGAAGGCTAGCTCTGGCAGGGCTCACCTGAGGACACTAGGTCCTCCTCATCCCGTCAGCCGCGCGCCAGGGGGTACCTCTGACCATCTGCGGTCGCTCTGCCTACCCCAGCTGTGCTGATTCGGGACATGACCTGACTGCAAAGAGCGACGTCTCCCCTCCCCCTCCCACTCCCATCAGCAATCGTCAGGTCAACTGCACAATACGCGAAGTGCCGCGGCAGCTAAGAGGTGTTACAAGTGCCGGCCGCCGCAGTGGCTGAGCTGTCATGTCACACTACGTGTCAGCACTGGACGACAAGGTTGTCAACTGTCACGCCGCGACACGTGACGTCACCATGTCGCGAACACCAACGCTCGTGTACCGCGGCTGAGTCGCTGTCAACCTCCTGGCGATCGGCGCTCACGGCTGGACGCGCTGGAACGGGCTGAAACACGCAGGGCGCGCTCACGGGCTCGCCACGACCACACGGACCGCAGGCGCGCGGCGCGACGCGGGGCAGCCGGCCAGGACCCGACCGGCGGGAGCGGGAGCCGAGCGGGCGCGGCGCCCGGCTCCGGAGTACCCACCTGGTGCGTGGCGGGCCGGTGACGGCGCGTGCAGCCGCGCCTGGGACGGTGTCCGCCCCGCTAGTAGCCGGCTCCGACTGGCCCGTCGCCGCCGCCGCCGCCGGCGACAATCAATACCTGGCGCGCTCCTGCCGGGCGCGCGCACCGCCCCGCCCCCACCTGTGGGCCGACGCCGCTGCACCGGGGCCGCCCCGGACACGCCGTGCCGGAGGTGAGGCGCCTGGCCGGCGTGTGGGTACACGCAGTCAGAGACGGCGCGCCTAATCACACGGGGCTAGCGACTGTGAATCAGGCTGGTTTGAATCCGCTAGAAACGTGTGACCAGGTGATTCTGAACCGATGGTGTCAGCGTGTCACGCTAGGGTCCTTGCCGCACTGGAATGCTGCAGTGGTCCGAGGACCGTAGTGGTCGCAGCGCACGTGCACAGGGCGTGCGCGGCGCAAATTCCTGACTTGGCGGTCTAAAATTAGAACAGCTGCGTGTGCTCAGACTATAACCCATATCAGGGTTGTAGTTTCCTATTCTGTTGGCGGGCTTCCCTTCCTGAGCTTTAGCCCTCCCTCCAACTTTGAGAAAAAGCGGGTCAAACCCGAAGGGATGCCCGTTTGTTGGCGCATTTTGGAAAGGGTTTCGTCATTCTTTCACTGGTTAACCCTCAAGTCATTTTGCAATACTTGTCCCTAACTCTTTATCTTGTCACTGTTCTTTGCTTTAATCGTCGGGACTTGGCCGCTTCCAGTGCAATCTACGGCGTCTTATATTCTCCGCGATCAAACACAAAGTCGAACCTCATGCTCTGCATTCTTGCTTTAATTGGGTTGCTCCTTTCCTCTTGACTTATCTGTGTGGGTTGTTCCGTGCATTTCGTGCTTGTGTCTACAGGTCAACACCTTAAAAATGGGACGCTCTGCAGAATATCTAATGTGAAACCTTACGATATTGTAAGAAAGACGCTCGGTAGATGCGTGTGTGTCAACGACACATTAAAGAGATAAAAACATATCGTTTAGCTTTTGCAACCCCGGGAATGTACCTGACAGAAAGAGTGGCTGCATTTCCAGTTTTATTTAATGACTGCCAGCACGTAGTTCATTCCGCGTACAAAGGCGCTCTATAAATGCAGTAGCTTGGCGTGTACAAATCCGCATGTTTACAGACCATCGATGCGCCCCTGTGACATACAGTCGACACGTAATTCACTTGCCTGTCCCCGCCTCCCCCCCCCCCTTCAACGTTTCGTGACAGCTTCACATTAACCTCACGGTGACGCATTGCAAGAAATCGGCGTAAAAAGGGACAGTTTCAGATCTCCACTTTTCAGAGCGATCCGCTGGCCCTGCTGTTGCTTGGCCCAGCGCGTGTGGTCCACGTCCGACCAGCGCCCAGCAGGCCGCTGATCGAGGCCAGCGTCACAAGGTCCGCACGTTACGCTGGCGCACTACGCAGCGCCGGACCGAGGTCAGCACCCCAAGACGGCAGCGCAGGAGAGATAAGACCGCCGGTTTGCGATGACTTGCTATTTGCAGGACTTCGTCCGCACGGAAATGGGACCGGGCTCATGTTTCGTCGCCGCGCGAGGGCAGCTCTAAGCGTCGAACATGTAATACCCATCCTCGGAGGCATGCGGCAACTGACAGCTGCTGATATCGACGCGTTGCGTGCACCGACGAAGACAGTGAGTCTTGGTGCTGTTTAGCGGAGCTCCAACGAACCTTGCACTGTACTAGCGAGAACTCAAATCTGAGATGATATGACGAGATGCAAAGTTGAAGCAAAAGTAGACTAACCTTGGATTCAGCCAGAAGAAAGGCAATGAAAACCGACAACAGCAGAATATGCCCATCTAGCCTTGAACGCTTATTTTGAGCATCGTGGCTGATAGAACTGCATATGGCTCCTATCGTATAACAGCGGGATATTTTGAAAAACAAAACACTTACAACGTACACTTTTAAACCATTGTGTGTGGCCGCAAGCGTGTATCTTAATGAACATGCTGTTGACCGCTGTAGTACGCCTTGAAGTGTGTCAATGGGTCAAGATTGTATCACTTATCTTCGGACCTGATCCGTTACTAGCGCACGGAAAATACAGACGCCAATGCCACAATCAAAAGGTCTTTTTGTGTAGCACAGGTTCTTTAACCAATTGAAAGGGACGCAAGTTATGACCCTTTGGCTTCTTTGGTTGGGTCACGTGGGATCCGACAGAAAGAGGCTCACAGTGACATCTTATATGCAGATAGACACAGAGCATTTTGGTGGCGATGGAGCCGCTCGCTGTCTGGTTCTCACCTTTGACCATGCGTGCATGCGATGCGCCTCGCGTCGTGGAATAAGGTGACCTCAGATCGGGTCAACAGTCACGGAAAGCAGCCTCAATGGTGCCGTCGATGCAAGATCACTGCTAATGCAGACGACGGTGCACGCTGAGTCTGTTCGACGATCCCCGCGAAACCTCACTCATCATGCAAGTCGTTGCTAATTTCTACAAATAAAACCGGGATGCATATGGAAGCCTTGGTTTTGATCTAAAAGCATCAGACCAACTTCAAAGCAATTTGTTTTCGTTCATTTGGGAATACATGCGTGATATGAGCATATGGTGGGATTTATTGCCACAAAAGCTCTAGCATTTGAAGCTCTATAGTCACTTCCGTCGCACGCGCATGACCAGCGGTAATCAATTTCAATAAAAAGTGAGTTATTTGGACTAAAATCGCAAAAAGACGCCTCAATCGTAACAACACTTTGAAACAACACGATCGGCGTGTGAAAATTGTTAACATTCTACAACGTAAAAATGAGTGCGTCGGCAGGAGAGGAGAACTAAGAGATCGCGACCTTTGACCTTTCTAAGCATCTACACGGTAGCATTCTGGGATCGTGAGATGACGCTCAGTTTCCGAGCTCTTTGCATTGGGTTCCGAAATGGTCAGAGCCTTGAGCAAGTTCGGTTTAAGTTTGGCGTTTCGAAGTGCGTGTATGACAAAAAAGTCACGCGGGCGTGAAATCGGCACACGTGAATGACACGTAATGTCCGCGTACAGTGCCTACGATTAGAACAAAGATCCTTGCGATTCCGCCGCCACTGCGTTAAAAAGAGAACCTTCGCTAGGTGAGCTGGTGGGAGGGGAAATGGGCTGAGTCATGAAATGTTATGAAATCTTGCCCCAAAAGCTCGTCATTAAAAGGCTTCTCCCCGGATTCGGCCCACTTTTCTCTCAAAGTTGGGGGGCTGGAGCCCAAGCTAGAGGAAGGGGGGGGGGGGGGAGCTGAAGCTCTCTCAGCTAAATAGGAGAATATACCTCTGGAAAGGAAACGAGTTAAAAAATGGGACGATTTGCGAATCCGACCATAAGCCGCAAACCACCCACCCCACCTACAGAGAACACGTTTACGGACCTTGCTTTCACTTCGCTTGGTCCGCCCGGCTGGACCGAACGAGGTGAGACAGAATGTGCAGGAAGCAACCGACCGCCGCTGCGTAACCGCGGGCTACAGCTGCTCCATTCCCGGAACGGCAACACAACACTTCCACGGGACAGCGTGACGTCATGGGATTCCATGTTGGTATCGATCTTGAATGAAACTCGGTCTACCTCAATCTATCTTTCACGATTCATCATCTGGCCCTCCCGGGCCGTTGCGGACTGATGACTGGACCAACGACATTGATGACTGACTGGACATGAACATGACTGGACCAACGACCAGCGAAGCGGTTCTTGGTAGCGGGAAGGGTGCGCTGGGATGGCGGCATCGATGTGAGTTGGAAGGACGCAGCAAGTGATTTGTTGCTCAGGTCAGGGCAAGGTCAGATCCAAGGAGGGGAGGGGGGGGGGGCGCAACCGAACCATACCTTCAACCAAGTTGGCCCAAGTTGCACCCAAAAATGATGCAGAGATATTTGAGGTCTGAAAAAGTCTTAGCAGTTTTGACCAATTTTTTTTTTAGTAATTCTTGAGGTAAAGGAAAAGATACCTGATGAATTTCTATCAATCAAAGCAGCTTTTTGAATTTTGAAACGCCAACGTCGGTGTTACCCCCTCCTACGCACCCAACTCTTAGAGGCTACGTTCTGGATGTACTGCTGGGTCAGATAGATGTTTGAGTAGTAGCGTCAAAGATAAAGCAGATGACATCGCATATTTCTTTAAAATATTTACCTAACCCACTTCAGCTTTTCTAAATGGCTTTTAAGTCCAGTTCAGTTCTTCCATACCAATGAGGTCACGCAAATCTCCCAAGATAATAATACTGGTCCCCAAGAAAACCCTACACCCATTTTGCATTTACTAGCCCCGTGCTGTAGACGGCCGACAAAACGAACGACAACATGCGGGTAAATGTAAACTTTAGTCGCAACAGCGTATGGGAGTTGTCGTTGTTGCTGTTGCTTATGCACGATGACCTGAGAAGCAGTCGGAACGGTTCATGAAAGTGTTATAGAATGAGGTGGGGGATATAAGCCAAACGTCCAGGCGTGTTACACCGAGGAGACGGCCTTCCAACATAACAGTGCGTTTAAACTACGCTGGACAGGCCATACCCACCTCACGACGTTAGTCACCTCATTCTGTCTCAATGGGATGTGTGATAGACATAAAAACAGAAGGGCACAGGTTCCGCCGCGCGTGACGCACGCCCCACAGCATTGGAGCGCCCCCCCCCCCCCGACAGAGGGGGGGGGGGGCGCTCACCGCAGAGCACTGGCGCTTTCCGAGGGAACTCCAGCGGTTGTCGTTCTTTCATCGTCTATTCCACATCATGACCGACGACGTGGGCAAAATTTGATTTGGCGTGTGAGCTGGAGCTTCCGAACCGATGCCATGCAGGGACGATAGAACGTCCATAGGAAACGGGGACGAACGGTAGCGTCACTTCTCTGTTCTCTCTTATGTTGTGAAGTGCATTTGCGAGGAACATTATGCACACAGGGTAGACAACATCAGTGGCCTTATTCCTCGTAGAAAAAGAGTAAGAATGACAATTTATTTTACGAGGATGGAGGCCACTTATACTGACTCATCTCTGTTCTCTCTTTCCACACAATTTTTGCGCCA